CCATTTGGACCACATTCAGTGCCTACTCAATGTGTCAGGGTAGAAGGTTGTGAGTAACACATATAAAATGACTGGGTGGTTATATGAAAGGTATTTCATTGTATCTAAAGCTTTCTGAAACAGAAATGTAAAAGTCCAAATCAATTATTCCTGCTTTTTTTCATATTTATGCAGATATGACTGAAATGAAAATCAGTCTTCTGCTATGGGCATAATGGAACCTCACAGTAATAAAAACACTTTCTAGGACCAGCGGAAGTATATGCAAAAATCTTCTTTATAATACAAACTTTTTCTGAAAAACAAGACTTTGGTTTTTAAAGGAGCCTTGCTATTATCAAGGGCATTGTGTTACTATTGGCATTTCTATCAGATATGAATTAGGAAACTTAATTATAAAATGATCCTAATCCTCCATGTTTTAATCAATTTATATTTATTCATTTATTTTTTAAAAAACCTCTTTTCAGAGCCACGAGCAATCATTGAAGGCTGAATAATGGGAAATTGGAGAGCATTGCTCTGCTTAGGTTCTCAGCTGGTTAGACCTCAAATTCTGTTTTAAGCACGAGCAAATATAAGTTAACTGAACCATTGAATTAAACACTGTATGTTTTAATTCAGTTGTATTTAGGAAAGTTATAAAATATCAGTTGAAAGGTTAGCTCTATTTTAATTGAACCATTGTTTTGAAGCAGCTATTGTCTGGTAGAACACAGTTCTCCAGATGATGGACCCTAATGAACCATAGCCTGGAGAGAATAGATTTCATCTTCCAGTGGAAAACATCAGTGTGATTYTTATTGTATGCCTAAGGCACTTTGGTATGATCTACTGTAATGATTTTGGAAAGCCCCAGATAATACCCAAAATGTCAGAATTTCAGAAGTATTTAACAACTGCCATAGACTCAGAGTGCTGTCATCGTTTCTCATCTGCCAGTAAGTGGAGAACTGATGTAAATGTGGTTCTACAGGAAGGACCAGGTGGTAGGTCAACAGATAATATGAATTTGCAATACCCAGTTCTGTTGTGGACACTTAGTATTTGCTGAGGCAAGAAAAACTATTCTCCTGACAGTGGCATCTACCATGAATATACCATCAGCACAACACAACTAGTGTGGAGATTAGGTGCATTGAAAATAAAACTAATAATGGCATTTCATTTTCTAAATTCTCTAACCTCATTTAGGGAACCACTATGTATGTTTACCCATAAATGTTAGGTACTTTCCAGGAAGAAAACCCCTGGATACGTTCACCAAAGTGCACACAAAAGGCTAGGGTTGTGGCTCAGTGGTAGAGGGATTGCCTTGCATGGGTGAGGTACTGGGTTTGATCCTCAGCACCACATAAAATAAATAAATAAAATAAAGGTATTGTGTCCATCTATGACTAAWAATATTTTTTTWAAAAAAGTGCACACAAAAGAACCATTTAAACAATTAAAGTTGTTGAAGCTGACTTTTCAACCCTAACCTAAAGTGACTTTAACAGCTACTGAGCTGATGCATGGAGGATGCATGTGCCTGCTCYTGGTCTTGTGTGCAAGCCCTCTCCCTCTCTCTTATACAGGTATGAAATGAAAGCTGCAAATATTATTTTGTTGCTGTACTCCCAAACCTAGATTATAGAATTGACAACCTTAAAATAACCTAATTTAATCTCTTCATTGCACAGATGAGGAAATGGATGCCCTTACAAAAATGACAAAATCAGTGAGTTAGAGCCTGGATTACAAGTTGACTCTTATGCAAAATAGAGCTAAATTGAGCTAAATAAGCTGCAAATATTCTTCAGAAGTGTAGTCATGTCAATAAGGCCCTGGTTTTTAATGTTCTTGAACTTTATAATTTGAACTAGAAATTACCCTAACTACAGACAAACAGAACAAAAAATAATTGTTTAATTCAACTAGACAACAGATACCTGAGTAGTGGAAAAGGTGATTGTAGGGCCAGKAGCAGTAAGACAGACCTGAAGAAAGTGGCCCTTTCACCCCATAAACCAGAGACTGGGGCAGAAGCCACAGAGTGAAATGGCTACAAAGAGAAAGATTAAGGCAGCTTAGACAAAAAGGAGATACCTCAGGACTTCCATGTTCTCCCAGGGCAAAAGATTAACTTGAATCTGCAAGGAACTGACAATCATCCCTGACCTAGTTGTTATGCCAATATAAATCAGAAAAAGGTCAAGGTAGCCTGGCTGGACGTCTACCAGCCTGAGGGCTGTTGCCCACACTCATCCTCAGAACAAGCTCAAGAATGGTTCCAAAGGAATGTCCAGGCAAGGAGCATGTGGAGACATGTGTAAGAATAAAAACTTAGCCTTTCTTCTTTACAATGAYAACTGGGAATGTGGATATTTGTGAGTGCCTTGTAGCACTTGTAAATAAAATTGTCTTAGAAACTCCAGAGATAATTTCAGTTTTGATCTTTTAACCTCCTAGTTCATCTGTGAATACAGACATAACTAAAATAGTTATATGCCAGGGATTAAATAGTAGAGTGGTTGTTTTGGTTTTTTTTTTCTATTCATCAAAGTTAAAATGTCTTTTTAAGACACTGGTAACAGAAAGAAGCTAGTGAAAAAATAAAGCTGTAATGTTGCCTCTATCCCTCTCACTGCTCAAGTCCCACTGACCTCCATGCGATTCTGTGAACAGGTCAGGGTAGAGAGAGGGTGCTGGGCTGATCCTTCATCTTGTTTGTTTTCTCTGCCTGGAATATTTTCTCTCTTTTTTGTCTGTATGGTTAGTTCCCCCATCTTCTTAGAGATCTATGCAGACCCCACTATTTACTATTTACCCCACTATTATTGCAGGTCACTTCCCCCAGCAACCAGGACTCCCTACCCACACACACCTTTACCATGATTATTTTTTCCCCAGGATCACTTTTTACCATCCAGTATTAAAAGGCCATTTACTTTATTATATTTGTTGTCTGTTTTCTTCAACTAAAATATATGAGCTCCACAAGGGCAGAAATCTTTTGTCTACTGTACTGATTTATCTCCCGCCCAAAGCTTAAAATAGAATATAGTAAGAACATAGTAAGAATAAATAAATATTTTTAGTTAATAAATGGCCAAGTGCCTATTGACTTCCAAGGATAGAAACTTAAGAATGGTTCACACAGATTTAGCCTACGTGTTGCAATTTTTCTTGCCCAAGATTTGTGCATAGTTCAGTTTCGCAATAAGCTTTTCATTGTGGCTAATTTAGTTGTCTCTGGATGAAAGGTCTATAGGGCTGTAGTCCTCCTCCTCAAAGACTTCAAGTAGAACAACATTGGGACAAATCATGACACTTAAGTTGCAGAGAAATTAAAGTTTACCCTGGCCCAAATGTAGATTAGGATAAATATCAGTAAGCGAGACTATATTTATAAAGCAGAAGTTCCATGTCATAATAAACCATGTCCAGATGGTCAGGAAATAATATCAAAGATAATCTTTTCAGTTGGGCCCAGAAGCTGATCCTTTGAAGCTGTCTAAAATCTGGATCGTTGATTTACTATTAATTCTGTCAAATTATTCTTTTTAAATGATTATGAACAGTGTGAAAATTCAGGGCTTTCTTGGGTAGTACCCATCAGAAAAGCCAACAACAGATTCTTATTTCAGATTCCCAATAGGCATAGGCTAGGGGAAGGATGCTAAATTGAGATGCATGTTCTAAGAACTCAAGGAGATAACAAAAACAATCACTACTTGTCCTAAACTGTTTAGGCTTCTATAACATAATTCCATTGAATGTGCAGCTTTAAACAACAGGAATTTATTTACATGGTTCTCGAGGCTAAAAAGTTCAAGTTCAAAGCACTAGCAGACATTTTCTGATGAGAGCCTATTTCTTGATTCATAGGTGGCACATTCTAGCTCTGTTCTTACATGATGGAAGGGATGAAGCAACTTTCTGGGGCCTTTTTTTTTTAGAGATATTAATCCCATTCATGAGAGTTCTAGCCCTATGACCTAATCACCCCCAAAGGCCATACTTCCTAATATCATGACCTTGGACATTAGAGTTCTAACATATGAATTTGAGCAGGGGGAGACATAAGCATTCAGACCAAAGCACCACCTTAGTCATTACTATGTGCCTTATGAGGCCTTCTGTAGCCAACAGACTAAAGTCTGAGAACCATGCAATGCCCTTRTCCTTGGACCTCAGCCAGCTGTCCCTTCAAAGATTCACCTGCTGATCAGAAATACAACCTTCATAAGCTGCAACCACTAGTAGTCAGAGAAATGGATTATTGGACCTGTACCTCTGCCCCAAAGATCTTAGAGTTTGTGTTAGTCAGCTGTTACTATGACAAAATACCCAAAATAAATAAACTTGTAAGGAGCAAAGTTTTGTTTGAGCTGATGGATTCMGAGATTTCAGTTCATCTTTGGCTGGTCTGGTGCTTTTAGGCCTGTGGCAAAGCAGTACCACATGGTGGGAGTGTGTAGTGGAGGAAGCTGTTACYTCATAGCAGCCAGGGATTGAAAAAGAGAGATAAGAAGTAGTCATTATCCCTCTCAAGAGTACACCCTTGATAACTTCCTCCCTCTAGGCTCTACCTCTTAAACATTCTACCACCTCCCCGTAGCACCAGGACTGGAATCTAAACCTTTAGCACATGGGCCTGGTGGGAACACGTATTGAAAACATAGTAAATTTCAGGTCCAAATAGTGCCTGCCCTTCTTTGCTTGAAATCCTGTGGTGATTTCTCCCATCACTGCACATTCTTCCAGTTAGTACAAAACATGCTTCATTATCTGACTTTTATCCTAGAGTTGATCACATACCCCATAGTTACCGGTCTATATTTCTCTCCCACTGGGTTCCCAGAGGGCTGGTGTGTTTTATCTGGTTCATTTTAGTATCCCCAGAGCCAGGCCTGTAAAGGTTCTCAGTAAGTATTGTTTTAGTGGTGGAAAAGCTGTAATGGAAAAGCTGTAATGTTGAGAAACCCTAACATGGCTGTGCTTTCTCTTTCCTCAAGGACTTTGGCATCATGTTCCTGCACCACTTCGTATCTGTTTTACTGATTACCTTTTCTTATGTCAACAATATGGCCCGAGTAGGGACCCTGGTCCTTTGTCTTCACGACTCAGCTGATGCTCTTCTAGAGGTAAAAATTTTCCTTCATTCTTAAGAATTCAAAATCCAGGACTCCTGAACTTTCCCAGATCATCAGGTCTCCTGTGTCGTACCAGATGGTGCTTTCAAACTACAGGGGTTTTGTAGGTTAAACTGCTGAAAATGAGACTTGAAATTAGTATATAAACGTTTACACTAATTATAATGATTCCTTATTAATATGCTGATGAAAACTTTACTATACCACATTTAGACTGATTTTATAATAGGGAAGTCATTCTTTTAATAGGTTTTAATTGTACTGTAAGTTTCATACTGGTTTATTTTAAATTTTAATATAATTAAGTGTAGTTATTAATGGGAACTTTACTTCTCAATAAAATTAAGTAGGTTAGTTTTTATTGTCACTATACATATTATCTTTGTGTTTTTAGAATGAAAAGCATATATGAATTGCAAATATATATAGAAACTGTATAAATAATTTACTACTTTTAAGAATCACACTGCATAATGTTATATAATTAAATAAAAGTCTTCACTTTATACTAAGCAATTTTATATAATTGGTCAAAAAGAACTTACGAGAGTACAAATTCTATGTAGAAATGGATCTTATAATCTGTATTCTGATTTTGTTATTCCTKTTGACTCCACAGTTTTGCCAACTTTTAAGCATTTGTTAATACTGTGAATAGAGAAGTATCTTCAGACAGTGATCAATTTTTGCAATACAAGCATAAGTTATAAAAAATTGAATCTACTGTAAAGGCGATTAGTTAAGGTCATGTATATATGGCATTTTATTAAAAACTCAGGTGCCTTTAATAGTTTGAAAAATAGTCCTATAATGGATAAGTCAGATGAAAACCTGGTGCTATGATTTTAAGTAATTCAAGCTAAACTCTATTCGACATATTTTTCAAAAAGAGAAATATATTTAACTTGAGGGTAATCCCCTGAACATCAATTATCATTTGGTTAAATCATATGTATGTTTAGAAATCACAATTTATTCAGTAGCCTACAGTTTTTKAAATCAATTCTATATAATCAGCCAATTTTAACTCCTCTGAAAATCACCAGCTTGATGCTTAGTAGAGCCGTGACTGAGAAAATCTTAGTTGAATTGTCTCCTACCCTTTTTATAAAAATATTTTTTAGTTGTAGTTGGGCACAATACCTTTATTTTTATTTAATTATTTTTATGTGGTGCTGAAGATCAAACCCAGTGCCTCACACGTGCTGGGCAAGCGCTCTACCACTGAGCTACAACCCCAACCCCTTTCATCTACCCTTTTATCCAACAAAGAAAATGAATCCAGAATCCCAACCATGTGACTTGAAAGCAAATGTGTTTCATCACCTGGGTCCTTTTTGACATTATAAATCATGTTTGAGGAGACCCAATTAATGAGATCTTCAAAATGGGATTTATGGCCTAGACATTTCTGAAAAGTTGATGTTATTGCTTATTTATCAAATATGGGTAGATTAATATAAAGGAAAAATTAGATGATTTACCTATCCAGAAACAGGCAGATGATACTTTTTATTTTAACACCATTGTGGTGCTATACCCAAAGTATGCTTGAAATTAAAAGCTTATAATCCTGGCTGCCACTCACTTCCTCTTTGGAATATATTTATTTTATAGTTTTGTACTTTACTTAAAACTATTAAATTATAAATTCTGAAGATACTGCCAACAATCTTTTCAAGTATGACTTAGCCAATTTAATTTTTAAGAAGTAGAAAAAAAGGTTATTGAATGCCGAAGACATCTTCATTTTATAACTGTGTAGTTGATGTAAAATCTATATAAAAAATGTAAAAATCAATGATCGAACAAAATGTTTTCAGCCTCATCTTTCTTACTTAGAATCATCTTAAAAAATTAATGGTGAACTGGGAGTRRTGGTGCATGCCTGTAACTGTARCCACTCAAAAGGCTGAGGCAGGAGGATCACAAGTTTGAGACCAGCCTTAGCAACTTAGTGAGGACTTCAGTAACTTAGCAAGATCCTGTCTCAAAAAAAAAAAAAAAAAAAAAGTGAAAAGGGGATATGAATGTGGCAAAAAAGTAAGATAATGGGATGTGATTCATCAGATAAATTTATAATATAAAAATGTGGGGGCTGGGGTTGTGGCTCAGTGGTAGAGTGCTCACCTAGCATGTGCAGGGCACTGGGTTTAATCCTCAGCATCACATAAGAAAAAAATAAAGGTATTGTGTCCAACTACAACTAAAACAAAATATTTGTTAAAAATGTGGTCACTTAAATCACTACCCCAAATTATTTGAATACTTCTCATAGATGCTTTGAACATTCTTGACTTTCATCTAGAAAGTGACCCAGGAAAGTAACTTTGCAAATTCGATCTAAATGGATTACTTGAAATACCATGACCTTGACCCTTTCTTCATTTTTAAGTTATTGAGAATAAACAAGGATATTGTCTCCCTAGAGAAGTTCCTCTGCCAATTTAAAGAAAACCCATAATTCTAAAGAGAAAGAGAATAATGCAGCAAAGTTCCATATATTCTGTATTAAGTTTGTGATCTCAGTATTTGGGACTCAGTAAAGGTTTATCTAGCACTTTCTATTTTGATCTATTATGCCAAATTTCTGTTTTGGTTCTCTGGCTTGCTAATATCATCTATAATACAAAAGTTTCTTATTTTTCCTGTCTGTTTTCCTGAAATCAACCATATAATTGAATTTTTCAGGTTGCTGAATATTTTATTAAATCTGTGACAGTCGGTAGTTCTACTTATGGCTAATGCTGCATTTCATTCGACTTATGAGTAATTTATAAATACTGATGTATGATGCATGACATTTTAAAGTAGCAGGCAATTTTGTGCATCTGGTAAACTCTATCTTATAGAAAACTCATGCATAGTAAAAGAAATTTTATTTATCAGCTTAACTAAATTAATACGTTACATTCCTTCCTTTTATAGGCTGCCAAAATGGCAAATTATGCCAAGTTTCAGAAAATGTGTGACCTCCTGTTTGTTATGTTTGCCATGGTTTTTATCACCACACGGCTGGGTATATTTCCTCTCTGGTGAGTATGCCAATCTTCTTTCTAATTGAGCCACCCCTTCCAAATAAGCTTTAGAGAACATTTGCCTTTTGAACTTTACTCTAAATACTTAGTAAAAGGTTTAAAAGTGGTGAGGATGAACTCAAGAAACAGCCTGATTTCTTCTTGCAGAAGAGAGTTTCATTCTTTACTAATATTTTCCACAGGATAGTTCAAGAAAGATGGGTTCATGGGGATTCTGAAGCCACAGAAAGCATTTTAGGTTCTCATCTAGACTTTGGCTCAAGAACCCCCACTGTGAAGGTTTGAATTAAAAAAAGGAWTATGATGTTGCAACCSGTGTGTCTCAGGATCTCCTTCCCTGGAACAGCAGCAGAGGCTCACCTGGTAACTTGCTAGGCCCCACCTCAGACCCGGTGTGTCTCAGGATCTCCTTCCCTGGAACAGCAGCAGAGGCTCACCTGGTAACTTGCTAGGCCCCACCTCAGACCCGCTGAGTGACAGAGCTGTGTTTGATAAGTCTTCTCAATGTTCTGCCACACACTAAAGTTTGGAAACCACTAACCTTAAATAATTCTCATCAGCTATTTTTACAGCCAAAGGAGATAGAAAGTATAACTCAAAAATAACCTCTGAGATTCTCTGTGGGTCCTTAATGTCTAGATGGCTTTTCTTTTGTTGAGAACTAAGAAAAAGATATGACAGATTTCAATGGAATTTGACAATCCTTTCCATAAAAAATGGGTTCATTGTCATTAATCTTTTCCTGGAAGGCTCTGACTTGGTCTTGAAAAATAATGAACTCTCCATATCACTTGGAGTCTTGTCATTGATGGCAAATTTGTTCTTCCATTTTGAAAGATTTGAATGGGACTTTCAAAGCAGGGGGAATTGGAAAATGCGGAATAGCAAAGGGATGCAATAATACCTTAACTCTCTGTCCCAGCAGAAAAACAATAAAGTTGGGGCCTTTAAGTGAATAACATCTGTCACTAAGATTCCATTTATGAATCATTAGCATACCCATACCTGCTCTCCCTCCACCCAACACACGTACATATGCATGGCTTCTTTTTAAGGCTCATGGCTCTTTTGGACACTTACTTATTATGAAAATCATTTCCAAGCAGCAGCACTGTGTGTGGGCAACAGACATTTATAAAACCTCATTATAGTTTAATATGATTGTAGGTAAGAAACACTGAAATAATTTTGAGTATAATATGACTGTAATTATTTCAGGGTTGGAGCTCTTTCAAGATTACTGGCAGAACTAGTGGTAAGAATTTAAATAGAAGAAATTTAAGTAAAATCCAGGGAATACTTTCTCAGAAAAATTGCAGGAAACTTTACCTACTTAGGATTTCTGAGAACATGAGTTTTAAAGACATATGCATTCCTATCAGCTACTTTGATTTGTTTCCTTCCCTATGAGAGTAGACCTGAAATTGAAACACACTTTCCTTCTGGTTAATGTGTAAAAGCTCTTAAGTGTAGACAGCAGTGTGTCACCTAGAACATAGATCCTCAGAACAAACAAATTCTGTCCTGCAGCCAGTAAGATCACTCATAGGTATGGTCTGTAGTGATGACCTATACTAGCTGCTTAGAAAAGAGTATATAACCAAATATAAAATAAGAACTTCTGTTGCAAATGCTGTGTACTCTACTGCCATGCCTTTTTGTGGACCAGAATTTTTCAAAAGCAACTCGAAAAGAAAAATCTTTTACTGCAAGAAATAACTTAGGTACCCATTGCTACTATAGTCATAATGAATAAAACCATTTTCAGATACATCTAGTATGTTATATTGATGCCTGGATGGTCTTTATTTTGATCCTACTTTGATTAATAGAGTGTAATGGACATTGTTGGTATATAAATTTTTCACAAGAATGGCAATAACAAATATTATTTTACATATTTACTTTAATATTGTGAAATTATTTAGAAATTCATTTTCGACTAGGGAATCCTAGAATTGGAAAGAGCCTTTCAGATTACCAGCTCCAGATGCCCCCACTCCCTCTGCACATAAGAATTCTTTTGTTAGTTTCCCTGATCAAGAGTATTGCTTCAGAGGTCCAGGGGAAAATTCTTTCTTCTATTAAATGAAACCTGAGTCCTTTTGACTTCTGAGCTAAAAATTCTTAATCTGGTTTAGAACAATCTAAAACAATATGTGAAGTGTGTGTGTGTGTGTGTGTGTGTGTGTGTGTGTGTGTGTCTGTCTGTCTGTCTGTCTGTCTGTCTATCTCCTGGGTGGATGGCTATGGCTTTAATAGATCTTTAAGATCTGTGAATCCTTTTTCTCCTCAAAAAAAAAAAAAAAAAAAAAAAAGGTACCTCTGGAAAACAGTAAAATATACCCTGCCACTTCCAGTAGAAAACTCTTCATCATGTGAAACTCTAATACAACATCTTTAGGCCTTCTCTTCTACAGAAACATCCTTAATCTCCTCAATGGGTCCAATAGAATTCTTCCCCAGAATTCCTTTTGTGATGTTTGTACTTGTATGTATTTGTACTAGGGATTGAACCTAGGGACTTTGCTGCAGGGGTCCAGCCCCAGCAGCGATCCAGGGGTCCTGAAGGAGGAGTGGCATCAGCAAAAGAAGAAGAGATGGGATGATAGGTTGCAAGTTACCAGCAGCCTCCAGAAAAACTCTGCTGCCCCTAGAAGGGCCTTTATTTTTATACCTTTTTTACAGGTGTGTTTTTTCAGGTAGATAATGGATAGCTTCAAAGCCCAAAACTTATTTGATTTATATGATTTTTAAGAGTTATGGTCTTTTCTGACATATATTAATTACCTAAGATACTGAGTACATTGTTTAAAATATTTTCCTATAACTTTAGCCAATCATGATTAAGCTTTCACATTTTCACCTCAATCACTAGGTGTTAGACTACGCAACTAGACTGCATGTCTCTGGACCTATTATTAACTTTTAACTTTAAAACCTACCTATAATTATTTCATTAACCTTTAACTTTAAAGCATACCTATGATTATTGGTAAGTTTTCTTACCTCTAAACTAAAGTCCCAGTAAAACACACTTTAAATAGTGAAAGTCTATTACTTAAAAGCCTACTACTCTGAAGTRCCTCTAAAATATAACTATATTCATTTTACATTAATCTGTTTTTAATTTCCAAGGTAATTTCCTTTTTTTATATGACCTATTTAACTGTTTTCTTAAAGAGTTTCCTTGATCCTTGGTCCACACCAATTCTTACATCTTTGTAATCTTTAACTAAACAGCAGGCTTTGCACCTCAATCCATTTGTCATTTATATTAACTATGTGTTTCCCATTCTCATCATGAATTCCTGTGTAAGGCAAAGGAGGGTCTGTTGGTGGGGGGAATGTATGTTGCCCAGGTTGTGGCTTTAGAACAGGGGGCTTAGTGGAAATTGTTAAGCTTTTCTCAAGAACCTCGATTTGCAATCTTTTTCCCATGAATTTCTTGAGGAATAACACTATTTTTTTGTATCCTGAGAGACACTGAAACACACCTTGGGGCATGTCTTAATTGTATCCTTAATCTCATTCTGGGAATTTTCCTGCAATCTCAGGCAACACGTACTTTCATTATTGATTGACGTATGCCCTGTTATCCGTATCATGAGTATCATAAACAAAACACTTAACATTCCCCATGGTTCCAGTTTCCAGATGGTGTGGCCCTKCTGCAGCATCCCCCACACTGTGACCCTGTCAGACAGCGGATGAATGCCTTCACCACTTTGCCACTGAGCCACATCCCCAGCCCTTTTCATTTTTTACTTAGAGACAGGGTCTCACCAAGTTGCTTGGGAATTGCTAAATTGCTGAGGCTGGCTTTGAACTTGCAATTCCCCTGACTCGGCCTCCTGAGCTGCTGGGATTATAGGTGTGTGCCACCATGCCCAGCTCTTGTAATGTTCTGCCCACATCTTGAGAGCCAGCAACAGGCCTTGTTTAGCACCTATAACATGGTCCACTGTGGCATGAGCTTTTAAAGTAGCTTTTGTATTGCACCAGTGGTAAGCTGCTGCCAGACAAGACTACACCCCCATCCTAAAGTCATTTCTTCTTTATATACCTTTATCCCTAATTATGCTTTATTTGCATACTTGATTACATACACTCCATCTGTCCCTATTCAAATGCATCATGCTGTTTTCCTATGCCACCCTAGCCCAGCAGGGCCTTCTGAGTTACATTCCATATGATACTTATCCTTTCCAGCCTCATGTTACCTGTAGATGTGTCTTTCATGTTCTTCCAACTCAGGGAAGAAATATGTTGACTAAAAAAGAACTCCTAGTACACTACCGAATGATCGCTTTATGTAACTTCAATCCCGCAGCCACCAGTCTTCCTGTATGAATTTCTCCACTCATTGTGAAGCCTTCTAAGGGCTCTGTCATCATGCCTAAAGTTTCCTCAGTTTTTTTCTAAGGTGTATAAAAGAMCAGCATCAAAGTTATTGTGGAAGTCAAGATTTACTCTGTTGTTTAAGTCATTTTCTGCCCACAAAGACAGGGTCAAAAGAGAATGGAGCCAGGTTTAAGGAGACCTTAGCTGGCTCCTGTATCTTCATTTCTAAATACTTACCCTCATCCATTTGATTGTCCATCTGAGTAGTAAGTTTAGCAGTCTGAAGTGTCCAGTCTTTGCTTTATCCATATTTTTCAGGTGGATACTTTTGATATCTACTGTACTGTCCCTTTTTAAATGTATTTAGTGGAGATTTATGGGCATTCACTGGGCAAGCAGGATTGGGCTGGGTGCTGAGAATTCAATTTGACATAGGCCTTCCCTTGGAACACTTACAGCTGAACTCCTATAGGACCCTTAAAAATACTGGTTCATAATTTGGGGGAGGATGCTAGAGATTATAAATTATTTTCTGAACATTTACAGGACATAAATAATGCAAGTGTACTACCAATATTTAGTTTTGGTGCATATACTGAGGAACTCTGTTGGCTAAATAATACATCATATCAGATGGTAAATGTGTGAAATAG